TGGAAAATTTGATTTATTTTGACTTTGACCAATTGTTTAGAATGAAATTAATATTTTAATATAATGCACATGGAATATTGATGTTATTGATGCCATTTACATGTGTCATGTCATGTTATATGTATTACATGCATATGATCCATTGTTGAGATAAATAAATATATCATGTTGGACACATTATTCTCTTGCATATATAGATACAAGTATGATGCATGAAAATAAGTTAAAATAATGATTTACTTATATTGGCATTGGTATGGTCATAAGATCTCCAAATAGTTATACTCCACATAAAAGGAGCTATGATTATATTATGGAATAAGTGGCACCTACTGGATGAATTCACTATGAAAAATAGCCATTAATTGCTTGCTTGAATGATAAAATACAATCCTGTGAAGGTAAACATGCCAATCTTTGCAGGGTGATTCCCTTCAAGGCCATTCTTTCCTATGGAAAGAACTTATTCTCATTCATTGTTTTGGCAGGTGAGGATCCCTCTACTTCATCCACATGCTGTTGAGAGTGTAACATGGATTCTCTAAATTCTCAAAAAGAACTCATATTATAAAATAATAAATCATTATCTGTTAGGAGAGTGCACCATCTAAATTATGACCATGGATAGTGGACTAATAATCATGACTCTATGTGATTATGTGATGCAACATATACATCCTCTGCATGTCATGTTACTATATGATTATGATATTATATTAATTGCAATCTCGATTATGAAATTTTATGTTGTTTAACAATTTTGTTTTCAGGAGATACATACCCAGTATGATTGTTGAAATATTTTTTTCAGATAGAAAAATCAGAAGATCAAGTTTAAAATTATGATTTGGCACCAACAATTAATGTGTCTCAAGGGATTTTTGCTTTATTTATAGATAGATTATTCAATCTATGATGACTATGTAAGTGATTGAGATAATAAAATGGACAAAAAAACAGTTTGTAGCCATGAATTCTTAAAGAGACATTTATGCAAGTATGAACTTATTGGTCTAGAGTTTTGTCACGTCGGGTCGTAACACCCAGCCCCTGATTGGATAAAGGCCCCTTAGCCCTTGATGGCTCTTGATTCTTGGCCCTTCTCGATTCTCTTCCTTGGTCCTTAGCTCTTGCGCCTTGAATAAATGATGAGTCCTAGACACTAAAGATTCAAGAACAATACTTGTTTGAAGGGTCAGCTTCACCAGCAACTCTTGCCATAACTTCAAGGGGACAGTCTCCCTCTCCAAAAAAGTTCTTCACACTTACAGGAGTTCCTTTACTATAGGCTAGGGTATGCACGCAGTCTCCATTATTGTCCAAAGAATTTAGGCAAGGGTACGTTGAAAAAATTATAGCAGAGATAGGGTTAAGGAAATATATTTGATGTGACTAAGGGTTTCATTGGGTATTCTAACCATGCATCTTCAATGACAATGGAGGATCAAGGTAGTGCTGCAAAAGTGCAGAATCTCATGGTTGATTTTTGTCCATGGAGATGACTTTGTACATCTTTGGTGCAATGAGCCCTAAGATGTGAGGGATCTTTCTTGGGCTTATCACCTACATGGTGGGAGGACATCAAACTGCTGGAGACAAGGTGCCACTACAACAAGAAAAACACATGTTGCCATGATATTGAAGCTTTGAAAGGGAGAGCAATTACTGACTGAAACTGTTAAGGTCTCACAGGTTGCCATTTTCTTAATCATACCTGGAATGAGCCACAACAGCATGAAACTAAGTGCCACTTATGAGCACCAGTAATACAACTTATGGCCAACTTAATTGTAGACTACACTACTACATAGATTGGAAGAATTATGACAGTTGGGCAAGTCAGAGCACACTGAACTTCTGACTTTGCTGTTTGCAGGGAGAACCTTCATTGGGATGCTCACAACTTATCAAGACCTGATGGGATAACTGATCCATTATTTATTGAGATTAAATCATCGGTCCAAAGTACTTAAGCCAGGTTAATAGTAGTACCCCATATAAGGCTTAGCCAGTGGGAGCTTCGTACCATATCATGATGTTATCTATAACCCCATCCATGGTAGTTATTTCCTCATTGAATCTCCCATCATATCCAATCCTATGTCTCTTTTGATATCATTTATCACGGAATAATTGATCTAATAACCTGTTGAGCCTAAACCATTGCCTCAAGATACTTAAGCCTAAGTTATTGGAAGTACTCATCACACTCTTAAGTTAAGCCTTTGTTCACACAAATTAAGATGCTATAGAATTTATACAAGTATCAAGGAAACAGTGAAAATTGAAGATTAAAATAATTTCTTAAGGTTAAATATCTGAAAAAATTCACCTTTTGCATTACGCAACAGGCTAGGAAAATAAATACATAAGATTGCTAAGCAACAAAGACTGACACTATTTTGATTGTAATTGATATGATCAATTGTTCAAAATTGACATAAGAAAGCAATGTATCTTTAAAGAAATTTGATAGATCAGATAAACAAAAAAGATGCCGTGGTTCATATCTATATAAGCAGAAAAGTCATTATGGAATTACGTATGACAGGTAAATTGCTCAGAATATCTTAAAAAAACTGTACCAATTATTGAGAAAACATATGTTGGTTTCAACATTACAATATGATATTCTTGGCTTCTTGCAATAACTTGTAGAATAGCACATGTTCATCAGCTTTACTACAAAATATTTCAACTGAGAATTGAATTACTGATCAGCAATAAAAAGTCAGATGACAACATCATATGGTGACAAAATTTTCCGATTATTTCTTTATTAAACGAGAAGCTCATAAATTTGATGATAGTCCATTTCAGCTCGGAACCGATTGTAGTGTATTACACTTTTAGTTCCTTAGTCTTGTTCTCAATTCCCTGTCAGTCATATTTTCAACTTCCCTAAAAGTTAAGGCATGACAAAATCAGTTATGCTAGTTCGAAATAACAAGCTCCTGATGAAAATTATAACAGAAAATCTTAACTTTTATAAATAATAAAGAATGCACTCAGTATGAAGAAGCAAAAGAAAATTTTGAAGTACATATCCAAGGCTAGTCATTCAGGGCACAACATCCTCAACTAAAAGTGAAGCTTGCTTTCAGTTCAAGGACAACTTCAGAACCAAAAACTGTTAACAAGTACTTATTTTTGCAGAGTCTGGACATATTTTAATTCTTATGCTTCAAACTTCTAAAAGAAAGGAATCCTCATCAAGAATTAAATTCCCCTGATTGGGTTCTTGAAGAAACAAGAGTTAATAAAGGACTTGCAACTTGTTGTTTCAGTTGATGATCAAAGAGATAGCTTGAAAGCAAGATGCAGTCTTTTTCCGATAAAAACTCTGAACTAATATTTGTCAACTGACACAACATCAACGCTAATAATATGTGAGCAACAGGATAATATCTTTGTGGTCAACACTTTGTGAGGAAAAAAACCTCTTATAAGGATACAGCAGCAAGAGCAGAAGGTGGATATTTGGGCACCTCACTCAGATCAAGATACAACCAGTGGTGTTTCTTATTCACGGATGAGTTAGGAACAAAGGTTTCACCCACAAGTACACTGGCTTTTGCTGGTTCCATAGGAATCCGATGTTGAAGCTTTGGTGATAAAGGGTAATTTCACCAAGAAAAGATCCGGTTTCTAGGTCATAGGAGGATGAAATAAGTAGCCTTGCACCAAAAAGGACTGAGGAACTTGCTTGATTTGTTTCATAAATGAAGATATATCTAGAGAGAAAGATGCACATTTTCTTGCCATACAAAACATTTAAGTAAATGAGGTAGGACTGAAGAACTTGCTTGATTTGTTTCATAAATGAAGAGATATCTAGAGAAAAAGATGAGTAAATGAGGTATTAAATAGTAATTACAGAGAGCAACGAGATAATCTTTGTTATGAAAGCCAAATAGGAACTCTATAAGGAAACAAAATCCTAGAAAGATACAGCACCAGAGAGTAGAGGGTGGGCATTCGGGTACCTGAGCGACAGAAGTCGATCAAGATCCCACCTTTGCCGCGGACAACCTACGGAGGCCCTCGTCAGCAGCGACCAGGGATGCATCAATGTCAATCGCGGTCTCGTAAGCTTTTGTCGCCTCATCCAGCAACCCCTTCTCCTCGTAGCATTCGCCTAGGAGGCAGAAGGCCTTGGCGTTCTCGGGACTGAGCCGCACCGCCTGGAGGAGGTCGGAGAGGGCCTGGTCGAGGCGGCGGCGTCGGTTAACAGCGAGGTGGAGCTCGGCGCGCTTGAAGAGGGCGTCGCCGCGCTCGCGGGGGGCGAGGGATTTGGAGGCCGGGGGGGAGAGGGCGGCGTCGAGGGAGCGGAGGGCGGGGAGGCGACGGCCGAGGAGGTCGAGGGCAAGGGCCTTGAGGATGTGGGGTGCGGCGTCTCGGGGGTCGAGGGCGATGGCACGATCTGCTTCGTCACAGGCGGAGCGGGCGAGGGCGGTGGTGGAGCCGCCGCCGCTGCTGCTGTCGCCGGACGGACGAGCGCGGGCGCGGGCGAGGAGCTGGGCGCCGTTGACAAAGTGGCGGCGGGCTTGGAGGGAGGACTGGGAGGGGCGGCGGAGGCGGGAGAGGGCGTGCTTGGGGAAGGAGCGGAGGCCCAAGAAGGCGGCCAAGGTGAAAAGAAGGACCAAAGCTTGCACCCATACTGACGATTCCATGACCGTCCCTCCCAGCATCGCGTCCCTCGAGCTCAGTGCTTTGCTACCAACACCACCTTCCTCCACTGCCGCCGCTACTGTTAGATGAGAAAGGCAAGAAGGCTGATCAACTCGTTCGATTACCAGCACTCCGCAATTAATGAGTCGTTTTCTTTCGTCTTCCTCCTCCGGTTGGGTTGTGATGGATCGCGTCGGACCGGCCTCTTTGATTTGGTTCAGGTCTGTCGATTTGGACCGCATCCGCCAAACTCGATTGCTTGGGCGGATGACTGCCCGCTCAGTCCCAACGAATAGACCATATTAAGATCCCGAACCCAACATAACCCCACCACAGACAACCTCGCTGACCTCACCCCCGCCGCCACGGCGCTCGTTGGAACCACCGCTCCTGCGGCCGCGACTCCACCGACCTCCGTCCTCGGCCACAAGCACACGATCTCCTGATCTGATACTTCCCAGCGCCCTCCTTCCACCATGTCAGTTCCGATCTTTTCCTCCTCGTCCTCCAATTTTGCATCTTTGCCGTGGGTTGATCTGAAAGTTCTCGACTTTTTTATCTGTGTTTTTGGGATTTCTCTTAGGTGTTGCTATGTAGGATCTTGGAATCAGAAAAGTGTTTAATTTATCTGTGTTAATGGCTTTTATGGGTGCTGCTTCTGATAAACCTGTTCTTCGGCATTGACAGACAATGATGCTGAGACGATTGGTGGTTCGTTTTCCTACTTCGGTGTTGTGCTCGGCTCAGAAGATACACACTCCCATCCTTGGAGAGCGGCCTCTCCCTCTCAATCTCCCTTCCCAGACATTCTTGCGAACTTTCCTCGACCTCCACCAGGTTGACTATCGGCATGCTGCATTCGATTCTGTCTTACCATTGCTGACATTATCTGATCACACGGGTTGATGTTTACCATGTACAGTTTGTCAACAAAGAGGCGATTGCGAAGGAGCGAGATAGGCTGTAAGTGAGATATATTTATCTTGAATGAACAATAGCTTTCTCTAAATTAAAGGGCAATAACATTACTGAGTCAAGAGTTGGAGAAAAAGGTGATAGTCTGTCAACAAGGATTGAATATGGCTTGAAGGGTAATATCTACGACAGGAATTGACATGTAGGAAAATTATTGGAATTGACTCCTGAACAGTAATATCTATTGTAGATATTATAATGGATTGGTTGATACTAAAGAGAACAGATGACGCAATGTTGGAAAGGAGACAACAGAGGAAATTGAGCAATTTTCTTGGATCCATTTCATATCTTCCATGCTTGCAAGTATGTGAAAATATTTTCACTTCATAAAAAAAAGCCTATATCACATCTAATTTTTCTGTCTAGCTACTCCAATACAAATGGAGCAGAACATCAAATTGTAATAGGGTAAAGAAGCAAAAGAGAAATACAAGAGCTTCTAGTCAAGAATGTTACTCATAAGCAAATGCTGTGTCAGTTAGATCATAGGAAGATTTTAAATGTTGTGGAAAACCTTTGTTGTTTCTCAGTTTTTTTTAGAATTTTGATAGTTAGAATTTTCTCATGAATATAAATCTTTTGTTACAAAGAGGACTAATCAAATGGTTCAAATTCCACATCAGACAAGGATTTACATGTGAAAAGACTGCTGAGCTCCATTGAATGAATTGTAAACAGTTAAGGTTCAATGATGTCAAACTATGATCATCTTTAATAATTCAATCTTTTAGCTAGAATATCTATTAGGAAGTAATGCCCCTTTCTTTTGCTATTCGTTCTTGGATGTATTTTGGGTGCCATGGAGTTATAGATTTGAATGCATAATTACACACAAGAATTCTAGTTGCTAAAAAGTTGACAGTTTCTAAGAATATTTAACAACAATTCATCGTCTGTGCTGGTGCAGTTCGGACGAAATAAACAGAGGATATTTTGCTGACATTTCAGAGATCCGTAAAAATGATGGCAAGGTGTGATGAATTCCTCAGTCTATAATTAAGTCTTCTGTCAAATTGAGCTACGGAGGAACTTTATTTCATCATGTGAAACTTCTGAAGTTTGACTTTTTGAAATATTGATTTGATGATTATCTAAAGGACGGGAGAATCTAACTTGCCGTGATTTTTGTCATACAAAGCTTTTACCTGCTGTGCAATGTTTGAAATATGTAATTACATGTGAAAGTAACCAAGAAAAACTGCTTGCAGAAAATACGTTGGGAAATGGACAGATAAATGGAGAACATTAGTTAACTATTTATCAATCTAATCATCTGAGGAAATCCATTGAGTTATCTTCGGTGTCAAAACCACTTCTATTGCACAGAACATTTGCCCGTCTTTGACACCTTCTGGGTGGAATTTTGTCTTTAACTGATATACTAAAATCTTGAGCTTCATTTTACATGGTTCCACATATAACAAGTTTTTTTTGCTAAAGGTATAATAAACTTTTAGGTGCTTATTAATAGTTTTAAATCTATACTTTTATCAATTCTTGGATTGTCATGATGGGCACTTAACTTCCACCATTCCTGATCATGTCTTCCAAGTGTAAAGATTACAAAATACATGGAGCTATGCTTTTCGCATCATATTCTTGTCATAGAACATAGTGTGACTATTTGGTTAGACACAACGAATTTTCTTTATCAATATTTTGAGCAGCCTTAGGTTGCACAAGTTGTTTTTGGCCATTTTCCACTCATTTTGAACATGTGTTGACACTTAGATTGCCTTTTTTTCCTCTTTTTTTTTTTTGCATAATCATGATTTTTTATGCTTATATCTTAATATCTGAACATAGGCTTCTCCAGGTCTTTTGGTGTTGGTCTTACTGTCCTAGTCTTTCAGCTTAGGCTCACTGCATGTCGTACATTCTTAAATCTGCATATCACATTTCATCATATATTGTATACCTGGAATTTGCTCTTTTTTTCAAGGTGTAAAAAGGGAAAATTATGCATATTGGATGTTTTTTTTCTTTCTGACCAATGAAGGGTGACAGAAATATATAGTCAGGATATACAATGTAATGTTGAGTTTGATCAGATCATATGCTTCTTTGCAGATTGCAATGGCAAATAACACTATAATTCCATCATCAACGGCTGTCAAGTTCCCGGACCTGGAAGTAAGCTTCCCAGATGGTCGATGTGTGAAATTGCCCATCAATGCAGCACAAACAGTAACTGACACCAGTCAAATGCCTGCTCCTTATGTGTCATTATTATGTCTCTCATTTCGAGCAAGCTCTCTGGTAGGGTAATTCTTCACATCGTTTGTGAGTTAAGATGATTTCTTTGGGATGATTAATGATTCTTTTAGTAGCAATTGTAGTCTCTTTAAAATGAGGTAATTTTATTATTGTAGTATTGCTATATGCTCCATGTAGTAACTGCCACTGGATTTTTAACTGTCAAGTATTTTTGTCCATCGGTTTGATACTTCTTGTGGATCGTCACATGTATGTGGATGAGGCATGTATATATTCAACATTCTGTTTAGCAATTAATCTGATCAGGTGTCATTTCATGTACCAAAGTATGAATCGTGTAATCAATATTTATCCTTTCATCGACAGTAAAATGTTTCTCGAGCAACTATGCATTTGGATTTAGCTGTTTTTCTTGTTCAAGGAACTCGCTAAGATCTGTTCTCCAAGATGTATACATTTCAATGTTTGGTGTTCAATGTTATCTATTCTACTGTGGATACACCTTGTTAAATCTTCATTTCCTTTGAACAGGGAATGGTTGAATCATGGATTCTTCCTTTTCGGGATGCTTTTAGTGATGCTGGGACAGTCCAAATATACGAGGTAATTAAACTGATTGGTTTTAAGGAAACCAGTTCACATGCTTCCATGCCATATTGTTTATGCTTTTAAACAATTTAAATTAACATGGTCTTTAGTTTTGTCTGTGAATTTGCACAAGATGCTGTTGCATAAACATCTTTCTGGTGATCCGAGGAGCATAATCTATGGTACTTGTGTATTCATAACTTTAATTCTTTTCAGGTGTCATTCATAGACTCTTGGCTATTATCACTGAGTCCAGCAAGGCGCCTAATCCTCAAGATGATGAGGAAATCCAACGATCCTCACAGACAGGTCATGTACGCCTTCGGCGACCACTACTATTTCAGAAAAAAGCTTCAAATTGTGAATCTACTCACAGGGTATTAGAGAATCTCCAAACTAATCCTGCCAGTAAATAGAGCTAACCTGACTTGGGAGTAACCATTGTTGCTGCATGCAGATATATCTTCCTGCTTGATGGCTTAGGCAGGATTAGATGGCAAGGTTTTGGATATGCAACAGAAGAGGAACTTTCATGGCTTCTATCATGCACTTCCCTTCTATTAGATGAGAAATGAGGTGACTTTCCTAGCTGCTCTTCTTTTCTTCCCTCCTTAACTTCCATTGTTGTGTTAAGTCAATATCAAGTTCTAAACCGACGCAATTTGCAGCGGAAGTTCAATTATGAGTGGCTAAGGAGATCAAAAAGCTACCATGACCTTAGGTTATTTAGTTCCTAGAATGATTTGGACAAGTACTTCTACCAAAAAGGGAGGGGAGAACAAAGAACAATAAAGGAGAGAGAAAACAACTGCAAATCTATGCAAAAACAGAGCAGTTGGGGAAAGACCTCATTTACTTGCTTGCTTAAGCCTGAAACAAAAATTTTTTGCAGGTGTTTTCATGATACTTATGGTAACTGTGAATGCCATGTACATTGGTGCCAATTTATGAATGCAGCAGGCTTACTGGAGCCAAGCAATATAGAATGGCCTAACCATTTTAGAAGGATCAGCATGTAAAGCATAAAGCATGTGAAGTCAAGATTCTCAATTTTGATCCATATCAATATCTTGAGTCATGAATCTTTTGCCGAGTCTTATTACACTGAGGCTTATGATTTTTTCACTTGTGTTCACGAAGGATCAGCACGTAAAGTCAATATACCAAGTCATGCTCGAAACAGTATATGCCGAGTGATGATACATCAAGACATTGTATGCCCAAAAACAGTTAAAAAATCTTCAAAACTTATCGACGAAACATCAAGACATTGTATGTCTAAACAAAGTTAAAAAATCTTCAAAAATAAATACTAAGATGTACCGATCTATCACGTATCGATATCCTCTTGGACCGATAACAATTGGATTTTGATCGTTATTGTCCAATACAAATCTCATATTGCTTGATACGAGATCATGTATCGATATCCTCTTGGACCGATACATATCGTCCGATGATACATATCAAAATTAAGAATCCTATATAAAACATCAAATGCCAAGCAAAGTGTCATAATGTGGACTACGCTGTCTAAGGATCATGATAACAATTTCCCATAGCATGCTTCCTGGTTCACCGTACAACCATGAAATATAAGCACATGTTCATTGTAAACCATCCATGAGAGAATTATCTGCTTTTCACATGCAGATGAGAATGGCCATGTAAAGTCATTTGCGAAGCAATAATGATAAATCAAGCATTTAAAACTAAAAACTCTCGCAGCTGCAAAGAATTTTTAGAAGGAATTGCTTCCATGAAGATGCTTGTAATAATCCATAATGAAAGCACATTGGCAACTCAAATTTGAATCCACAAAAATAAACTACTATGTGAACAAGAAACAGAAATATGAATGTTTAGAGCTGATAATAATTCCATCAAGTTGCTAATATAAGGCACAATAAACAGAAGCTGGATTTTGGATCCAGCTTTATCATAAAGCCCCAAACCAAAATTATGAATTAAGTAATTATCTAACTGATTCTAGCACCACACTTATTCTTCTCAATCCACAGCAGTATGCAAAATGATTAGGTTGTTCCTTAGTTAAGAATGAGATCCATCGAGTCCCAACGTTGCCGTAAGAAATTTGCAGACATCATCCATCTCTCCAGGGACCGTATAGTGGCCAAGCCTACATAATTTCAATAATTAATACTATAAAGGATACTATGTGGCTGATTGATAAAAAATGGTTATGCTTCTAAGAAGATGGTATGTACCCATTGTATGTTTTGAAAGTAACATTGTCGAATCTATTTGATTTTAAAACCTGAGCAGATCTCTCTCCATGTTTATATAGCACCACCTCATCTCCTGTAAGAAGTCAATTTTAACAAAACAAGTTGCCGTTATGGAATGTAATATGGCTCAAAAGTTGTGGAACTTCAAATAATTAGTAATTAGGACAAACATTTGGAAAAAAGGGGAATGTTATGTAGCAGATCTGTGTTAAATCATTCAAATCAAATGCAACCTTAATTAAGTGAACAACTTCAAAACAAATTATAACTAATAACAACTTGAAAAATGTTCAGATATCAAAGGTGCAGCGTGAAGATAATCAAGAACACATCTTTCGATGATTTTGACAGTAAAAATCTGTCATTTTGACTATCTCGTTAAAGAATTCAAATAAATGAACAATTGACACAATCTAATACACTACAACCTGCTGGAAGCCTTACTATCAATAACCAACATGTCCAGTCAGCCTCACACTTAACCTTTCATAAACCCATGGAAGTTGTGCATGGAATGTCAATGTAGTTACCATGGAATTAGAAGACAAAAAATGACAACTAAACAAACAAATCAAGATCTCCTAAACTCCTCAAAATCGTAACAGCTATTACATCACAAGTATGAATGTTGCACTTACATGAGAAGGGCAACACTGAAGTTAATTATCAATGAACTCTGATTAAATTGCCCGTGGAGCTTTCTCCAAAGGAAGGGGTGGATTTTCTAGGTCTCATATTGCATGAATAGTGCAACACTGAAGTGAATATATCTTATTGACCAACTTCAGTTTTCCACATACTGTGTTTCATAAGAGACACATAAGCTGTTATCTTGTCTATTGTATCCCTAATATAGTCAACTAAAACATGATAACAATCATAAATCGAGTTAAAACCAGTCAATAAGTTCATAAATTTCCTAGATAGATTTGTTTTTGGACGTGATCTCACCAATGCCAACATCTAAATGTTCCATTCAAGTCTGAATCTAGAAAAAAAAAAAATTATGTAGCTCAGTTGTATGTTGATTGCATAGGAATACCTTTTCCATGGCAAAGTAAAATAGGCAAGGATGAAGCACGTCTTGCAGCATCTTGTGAGCCTTCCAACTTGTTCTTCAAGCTCCTAAAAGAATAAAATGGCATCGCAAATGAGATCTCTAGATTCAGAAAAAAGAAGAAAAGGTAGAAGCAATATAGTGGCAGGTAAGACCTATATTTATGACAGTACAATATACCTAGCACATGGAAGCCAGCCGCTTAGACCAACAACAGAACTTAGATTGACAGGGTATGGCTTGCCATTTCCGTATGTTCCATGAGCACAAGAAGTTGCAGAATACAGGGCAGTTGCAGCACCCATACTAAATCCACCAACACCAAGTTTGACTGCCATAGCCAGTTAAAAAGTATAAGAAGTCACTAATTCTCATTGGTCAAACTACTTGTGATATACATGCAGAACTGGCTTATGTAATATTTGCAAAGCTTAGTGATATTAGATCAAAGGTTTGAAGCCTATAATAATATAAAAATTTTGGGCTTGCAAAATCATCTCTTGCATGAAGTCAGAAGGCTGCTTTAGCTTAACATCTCAGCTTTTACTGATTGCACCACTAGGAAAGCTCGAGTACCTGGTGTAATAACTTAATTCATTTTTTTGAACAATTACTAATGAGTTGGAAGGCTAAACTACATTAAGGGTAAAGGCGGCACATAGTCTTAACAAACTTGATGTCCATGGATTTACAGCAACAACATGGTGTCCAGACACACAAAAATTATGCATGTTTCTGAGGAACATACTATCGGCAGGCTCCGTTGTTAACAAATTTGCAACATGAGCAGCTGATGCATCCAGTCCTTCAACGTCATCAGGGCCATCCTCTGACAGATCCGTGACATCAAACCCTAGACAACAAGCAAAACTTAGAAGGTGCCTTGCCAACATATATTAGGGAAGTACCATATATATTTGTTATGACTCAAATCCAACCAGTTTAAGAGTTGAGTCACAGATCCACCGACCCATGTACACACACGGAAAAAGAAAAGTGTAAGATGTGATATCATAGCCAATCTGGTAAACATACAAGAAGTAGAAGGAAATCCTCCAAAAATTGCTACAGGCCTGGTAGGAGCAGTCGGGCATATCCACTTAATCTGCATGGATCCAATGAAGTTCATAAGATTATGATAGAAAACAGGCAAATGATGAACAAGAAAAAGTCATACTAGTTATATGAAGAAGAATAAATAATGACAAGACTATGTTATCATATCATGAATGATTCATTAATTTTATTCTTACATTTGGGAGAGGGAGGGTTTCCAGGAGTTGGGACCAGCTGCAGCATAAACAAGAAATAAACAAAGAGTGAAACTATGAGAACTCTTAATAAACAACAATTAAAAAAAGGTTTCAACTAGTTATAGTTCAGACTATCAGACCTATGAAGTATTATGCCACCATAACAGACAGTGCACTGTGAACTTCCATATAAAATTTAATCTTCACAAAGAACCAATTAAAAGAAGACAGTCAATTATACTGAAGGTTACACGTAGAATTCTTATTATCATGACAATACTAAGGGATGATTGTAGTAAAGAGCATTTCTTAAGATAATAGTTTAATCAGAAAAAACTGAAATCAATTTGTATCTTCCAGTATTTTACTCTCATGTTTCAGTATGTGTGGGCTTACCCTTTTTCTCAAAATGCAAGCAAAGAGAGATTTCATAGACCTCATTGATACTTCTTAAACCATAAAGGTTTGGTTCTCCAGAAAGAGCCAGGAGAAGAACTTAAGGAAAACTACTAAACTAGTGGTTCCATCACTAAGCCTTCCATCTTTTTCAGTTTTCCTCTCAAAAGTGGACAAGGTCCAACCGCGGTCCTAGTACTAAGAGTGTAAAATTCCAAGTTAAATCCACTTTCTATTTCCTACTAACCTTTTACCAAGTGGCAGACACATTTCTATTTCCTACTGACCTTATGACAGCACCAGAAGGTACTGAAAGTAGATTTCTTTCATTTAACATAAAAAGAAAAGATAAGCTGGCTATCATAAAACTTTAGGCAAAAACATTAAGTAGGGCACTAATAACTCTTAGAGAAGCAATATGGCATAAAACTTGTCGAGGAACACAATAAATAAAACATAACACGTGCTTCTAGTAAAGTTGAGAACAAAGATAAGCACCTAACAAAGATGCCCACCAGTTTCAAGCTAATATCCAAAACAGACAGTGACAATAAGGATTGCTCAACAGCTTAGACTGATGGTATGCATGGCCTAACTTCATGTAGCATAAGAAATTATCAACCGGAAGTAACATGGTATCTCAATCTATTTCATATAATATGCTTATTAGACTAAATGAAACATTGTCAAATTGTCACTGCCCCATGAAAATTCATGCTCAGAGAACATATTTATGGTCATAGCCAACTTCACTGCCAATTTGACAGTCAATAGAGAATTCTCCATGGTTTATTAATACCAAGGCTAAGTTTTGTCCACAGCTCAAAATATATTCATGACAACACCAAAGCTTAGTTTTGTCCATAGCTCAGAATATGAAATCATTCAGTCACTTACACAAAACAGTTAACAAAAGGAGACCATAGCAGAAAGAGGGAAGCATCCAATACCTTGCTCCGTTATCACCTAGGCCATGAAGCCACACAACAGTAGCGAGGTGCCTCCCCTTGGGTCTGACCACATGGGTCCTTCCGAAGTCAAATGTCCTCGTAGCAGTCTTTGCACCTGAATGTATTCAATGAATCATTCCAAAGGTCGTAACACAGCAGCGGAACTAAAGGTTGGTAACAGAAGACAGCAAGGGGATCAAACCTGAAGCAATCGAGCTGCTTCCGTAGCTCATCTCCGCGGCAGCACTACCAGTCCCTCTCCCCGCGAGCAACGCCCAAATTCTACTGGCAATAGCTGCGCAACTAGCTCGCCCTACCCTGCAGAAAGAAGCACCATTTGCATTAAACATATAATGGTAGGGTCTAGAGACAGAATATGAACAAGAACCCACAACGATCTGCTCCATGAAAAGGCGTGTCGATCCAAAACATAACTCTGAAGAAGGAGGCGAAAAGGGGGGAAAGGGATAGGTAAAAAAGAAGGAAGCTTTTGAACACTGACGCAAAGAACCTGCATAAAGCATCACTCAGGGACATCCACTGCTTGGATTTGCTCAAAAGAACTGATGCAACTGGAAAGGTAAAGTGGAAGGGATGGCAAAAAGCGAGAGGAAAAACAATAAGAAAAAAGAGAAGAGCATCAACAGCAACCCAACAACGATTCCTACAATAACCAAAAGCAATCGACGATCCAGTCTTTCCTCCCCTCCCTGCGATCGATGACCATCGGACGACTCATCGCCACAGGAACCAAGAACACAATAACAATCTACAAGCCCGCAAGAGTTGCAAGACTACGATTCGTGATCAAACCTGAGAGCACCGGATAGTGCGGCGGCTCTAGCTTCCGATCTCCCAGATCTCTCTTCGGTGAGGAGAGGGAGGAGAAGAGGCCGATATGGCGATATAGGAGACACCAAGACCGAAAGTGGAGCGCTGCGACCGCGCTGGCAGCGCAGAACCCCATGTGGCCACCCGTTCACGGGCCTTCATGGCATGGGCCCACGCCTGGTTCATTGCCAAGCTACGGCCCAGTGTGAAGTTGGCCATGTCCCGCATCAACACCAGAGCATCCACCACCCGTTTGATGATTGGCCTCAAACATCACCATCCCGACTGCCACTACAAAGCGACGGTAGCAGCGGAACGACTGCACAAAGGAGCGCACGATCGAGTGGGAGGCGATACGATCTGAGGAGAGGATATACGTGGCATCTCAGTTAAAGGTGGAAAAGGAGACTGAGTCGTTTACATGTGTTAATAGCATTTGACTCGGTCAACCATTCGGAACCTTGTGGTGCTTTTAAGAACATTGACTAGAGGATCCCATTGCTTGGTGGTCTCGCCACGGCATTTGGAGCCGCCCATGACGCATCACATCCACATTAAAGCAAAGGGGCCAAACAAAACCAAACCTTCTATTAAACCGATCAATGTTCTGATACAAACAACACATGCCGCAAGCATTATTAATTAAGGAAAAGAATTCTGTATGCTTAACGAGTTGAAACAGTCATAATGTGCTCTGTGTCTTCCCCAGAAGTGGTAGACTGAGCTACGCCGGGATCGGAGGGAGCCTCTAAGTCATCGGGTGATGTGAGGTCCACCATGAACATCTTAGTCTCCGGTGGCATGCTCACTGCGACGTGCCCCTCGAGCATGTTGACCACAAGGGCCATGCTGGGCCTGAGCTCAGGTTTATCCTGGATACACCAGAGGGCTATGCTGACGAGCTTGATGAGCTCCTCTTCCTTGACACCCCCACCTTCTCCGAGCATCCTCTCGTCCACGGCCTCCATCAGCTTCCCTTCTCTCATTTTCTCGCTCGCGTTCTTGGGGAAGTAGGACCATCTCGGCTCCGAAAAGTTGCCATGATCGCTAGCTCTCGCGTTCCTCCGCCCACCCACAAGCTCCAACAGCACCATCCCGTAGCTGTAGACGTCGGACTTGTCGGATATTCCTATGCCCAGGAACCACTCGGGGGCCAAGTAGCCTCTCGTGCCTCTCAGAGTGGTGATGACCTTGCTCTCGTCTCCCTGCACCAATCTCGATATGCCGAAGTCGGAGACGTGTGCGCGGAAGCTCTGGTCCAAGAGGATGTTCTCTGGCTTGACGTCGAGGTGTAGGATTCTTACGCGGCAGTCGTGATGAAGGTAGGCGAGCGCCTTGGCGACGTCCATCGCCACCTGGTACCTCAAGGCCCATGCCAGACACCGTTCTCGTCCGCTCCTTGGAAAGATCCAGCCATCGAGCGATCCGTTCTCATAGAACTCGTAGACCAGGAAGCGGTAGCTCTTTGCGAGGAGGCAGTATCCGATGATTCGGACAAGGTTGATGTGCTGCACGCTCAAGATGGCTGTGATCTCGGTGCGGAACTCCTTCTCTCCTCGGACTTCTCCCTCGATTCGCTTCACGGCGATCGGCAGGTCGTCGCCGAGGAAGCCCTTGAAGACGGAACCAGAGCCACCTCTTCCGATGGGGGTTCGGAAGTCCTCAGTCGCTGCCTTGAGCTCCTCGTAGCGGAATCTTCTGGGCAATCCAATCACTTCTCTGTAGAAGGTGTATGCCAGGGGCGCCTCTTCTTCCTCCGACTCCACCTGCTCGGGTTCCCCACGTTTCCTTCTCAGAGCTTTCACTCTGCGGGCAACCACCCACGAGATGAACGCGACAGCCACAGCAGCATCCAAAGAGGCGGTCACGTAGAAGGTTGCGGAGCACCGGCGCAAACAGGACAGCACGACGACCGTGAGGAGGACAAACAACGCGAGAGCAGCCACGGCCACTTCGATGCATCTGATTGGCGGGCCCAGCAAAGCATGGCGGACGGCGGACCACACGAGGATAGCGAAGATGAAAACGGCGTCGAGGCTACCGGTGAGGAAGAAGGCGTGGGAGCGTCGTAGGACAAGCCAAAGGATAAGAAGCAGGGACAGCAGGAAGATGATCGCCGTAGCGACGATGATCCTTAATTTGACGTTGGCCATCAAACCTCTGCTGTGCAGTTTGGTCAAAGCAAGCTCAAGAGCTATCCCTCTGTGCAGGTTCTTCTTCTGATCTTAATAATCGAGAATGGAGTTCATATGCCGTGAACCCTTTGACTGCTTAATCGACTCCCTGCAGTTGTGTGACTATAAATATTCGTCAAATTAAAAGAAATTGTTTTCTCTCTGCTCTGGTGGACTCCTATTCTTTGGTTCTCGTGCATTTCCACATCGAAACGATTGTTTGATCGGGATCAGCTTCCAGCCCGGCCCCCTACTTATTCTCCTTGAACTGGGATTAAATATACGTCTCACAAGACCAAAACTAGTCCAGAAACGCATTGAAAATATAGATAGATTTATTTGACAAGCACAAGCAGGTGGACTATGAAAAGAACTTCTCACCATACAAAGCACCTTCAGTATTAAAAAACATAATATTATTATAAAAATTTGAAGAAAAATATTCTTGTCACAAAATTTATTTGTTTCTTTCAAAAAAGAAACACTTTCAGATTCAACAGTTACGATGTTTTTGGCAAAAGTTGAAGACTATTTAATCCAATTTTCAGCAGTTACGAGATTCAATTTATGGTTTCTATTCATCTTCATAACATGGGCACACACAATACCTCAGAGAAAGGTGATGCATCCTTCATAAAAAAGGTAAAGGTGAACAAAATAGAACGTGTAGACAACCGCTTATTCCATTGTTAATGGATGGACACATTCATCAGCAATGTCAACCAGGAACCAATAGATGGTCCAACTTAATCGAATGCATCATCTTCGTCGTCTGGTAGAGGCAGTGCAGCTGCAGCTGCTATGTCAGCCTCGAAACTGAAAGGAAATTGCACACGGTTAGATAATGGATGCAGTATGCGCAGAACACAAAAGCATCACATTTTATAAGACGATGTAATTGCTTGCAAGAAGACTATGGAGGCAAAAGACCCACGAAGTAATACTTAATACTGCATTTAGTATTAAGATAATCTATATGCCTTAGAAGATGCAGTTTACTATTTCACTTACTATAGTTGTGCAGCCAGGTCGATATGAACTTCTGGGGGAGCAAGAGCTGGTGACTCAACGAAGTGAAGAGACAGATCACTGCACAAGTCACGCACTCATCTTATATATACATATATATAGCTTTCATCACATAACAAATAAAATTCATAAATAAGAAAAGGAAACATTACCCTGAAAGCTTCCTAGCCAGATAGAGAAATGGCTTCTCAAAGTTGTAGTTGCTCTTTGCGGATATCTCATAGTATTGGAAATTCTTTTTCCTGTGGAATGTGACCATCTTTGCCTTCACCTGTCTGTTCTTCACATCAACTTTGTTGCCACATAGAACAATGGGAATATTCTCGCACACCCTAATCAAAAAACATGACAAGAGAAATTAATTCCTGCAAATTGTACTACAGAAAGGCACGATAAGAATGGCACCGAAGTCTCTGACTCACTCACCGGCATAGATCTCTATGCCATGTAGGTACATTTTTGTATGTGAGCCTTGCAGTAACATCGAACATTATGATCGCGCACTGGCCATGTATACTGTATAATGTAAATTAAACAGGAGATCAAGATAGTAATAGCTGCATGTCCAGATAAAAATGTAAATTCGACAACATGTTGGAAAAAAAGTTAAAATGTAATAAAAATTCCTTTGTTCGATAAACATTCGATGCAACATATTCATTAGTGGAGATCGAATTAATTAATCATACATGTTAATGACAGAATTAGTTATACAAGTTTCAAATAAGTCATCGACCAAATAGATGAACACCATCGATAGTTCAAGAACATGCAACAAAAGATCTTCCTAAATAATTGATAATAGTACAACATTGTGCTTGATACTAAATAATTTCTAACAGCAGCTTTAGTCGAACACTAAAAAGCAACCCATCATTTGAACAAGTTTCATGACTAGTTCAAGCGACACTATGTACAGAAAGATCGTAAGCGATGAAGGTGGTAACAATATGGACATGGAATGAGAAAAGGAAAGTAGAAGCGAAGGAAGAGAGAACAAGCAATTGTGGATACTAGAACTCACTAGTATCCATCCCTGAGCCCACCAAACTTCTCCTGGCCAGCAGTATCCCAGCAGTAGAATCGGATCTTCCCGCAGTTGGTGTGGAAATCCAAGGGATGAACCTCGACACCAATGGTCGCTGCCAAACACCAAAAACCAAGGAAATCCATCATCTGCCCAAACTAAAGTCGGTACCGACAAAAATAAAGATCGTACGTTCATATTTCTTCTCGAATTCGCCGGTGAGATGCCTCTTCACGAAGGTTGTCTTCCCTGATGACGAGAGACGGCAAAGAAGAAACGATCAAAGAGAGAGATCGAGAGACACGTAGCATTAGATGAGGAGAACGGAAGAAGGCAGGGATACCTGTTCCACCATCACCGACGATGACGAGCTTGAAGCTAGGGTAATCCACGGTTTGCTGGTTGGGAAGCGCCTGCAAATATGTGAGATCGATCACCCGAGCCGAAGGAAAGCAGACCGAAAGAAGATCAAAATCAACACCAATTCGAACCAGAGACCGAGATTGTAGAGAAGGAAAGACAGGGAGAGAAGAATACCATGTGAGGGAGGAAGGAATGGAAGGAGCGCTTAGTATCTTCTATGACGAAGACGCTGCTCGAGATAAGAGTGAGGGAAGGTCAAGTAAACTAAATATAGAGAGGAGGAATGGAAGAGGGCTTACGATCGACGCAACGGTTCCTGGGACGGGTGGCGTTGGCTTTAAGCTGACGCGACGCTGGTGGCCGTTTGATTCCATCTGTTGTCCCGCTTCCCGCCCGCGCCGAAAGTTCAATTTGAACCGCACTGTATACGTATGGCGTGTCTATGACGGGAGAATAAAATGGTGAGCACGTATTTACTATACGCCGCTCTTTTGACCGGTCGATTGGGTCAAAAAA